TCTTCTGGACCCCCTCACTTTTTTGCGTTTTGTGGGGCATCCCTCTACCCCCCCGCCCCCCTGCCCTCCCCCTTGCCTCCCTCCCCTGCCCTGCCCTCTCCCCAGCTTGGCCCAGGTGACAGGCAGGTAACATTTCAAGAGGCTGTTGGTGCAGTAGAAACTCCTGTCTTCCTCCTACAAGCTCTGGGCTTCTGCTGCGGACATGCACCAACGCTACCGACTTGTGTCCCGTGCCCTCTGCCCCTCAGTTGCCGCATGCACCGTGCATCGCTCATGGCAGTGCCTCTGCTTGAAGCGCTTCATTTCGAGACTTGGCCTTAGCCAGATACGCATCAAGCTGGGTTTGACAAAGAGTATACAGTAGCTTATCTTCCGGGGATCCGACGGCCAGGTCCTCAGCTCGGGCAGCAGCATCTTCACGAGACGCCTCCGCGCGCGGCAAATCGCGTCTTTCAGGCTACAATCGAGAAGTAGGCCAAGCTTCAAAAACACTGTTAAAGCGTCCGCAATCCTTTTCGCAGTACACTGCAAAATGTTGAAAATCACGGGTGTGCAATTCTAGGAGGTATGCTCCCCCTTACTTTGGAACCTCCGCGCCATGAGTTTCGAGTAGTAACGGGGTCATAGGGCCTCCTGAAGCTCCGTCCGAGGTGTTGAAGAAGGAGCCTCGACAAGATCGCTCACGAAATCGCAGGCTTGTGCTCCGTTTCCGCAAGTGCTGCGCCCCTGCCTGAAGCTGTCGCGGCCGTGACGAAGTGCGACTCGTCCGGTTGCGAGGGCCTGCTTGAGACACCTTGGTCGAACATGGCCCATTTGGTCTTCGCATCGGCCGACTTCCACTTTTAGGACCTGGCCTTGGTACTAGCATGGCCTGTTTGTTCGCAAGACCTGCTTGAGCGAGACCTCGCTGCAATGCCAGCTAAGCTTTGTCGAGGCTTCTGCCCTTAGCAGGTTCTACAAGAATCAGGAAGCACTTGTAGCAAGAGCGTCGTTTCGTTGCGAAGTGGTGGTACATTCCTTGGCTGCCGGACCACCGCTGACGTTTTGCCAGCAGATGCCAACAGCAAGAACATTAAAAGTACAGGGGCATACCGCCCGCAGGCCACCAAAGAAATGGCAACCGTATGTAGTTTGTACAACAATCACTGCCAGCTTTCGGCAGCACCTACGGCCTACTCTAGTTTGCTCAACGCCCGTGACGCTCGCAGGTCTAGTCTGGGGAATCTGATCTTCTGACAGACCGTGCTGGCTCCAAATAGCACGGTATACCGGCACATGCGCAGGTGCCTGAACAGACAGCTACTTGCACATTGTTTGCCATTGCTATCGTTGGTCCCACTACTAGTTACTAGCATCAGCTCCAGCTCTGCACGGGTTGCTCAAATCCCATCAGCAGCTGGAGCTGATACGACCAAGCACCGCTGGCCAAACGATGACAATCACACGGAAGCAAGGGAAAGACCAAGTTGAAACAGAGGGAACGACATTCAAGCACGAAAAAAGCCGGCTTTGTTCACTCTGCTATGCTTTGTTATTGTTCTGTGTCTTTCGTTCAAGAAGGACCAATCAATACCAATAAAGCCCCAGCAAAAGGTTCAAAAGGTTGATCTTGCCTTATCACATAAACATGCAGCAAGAGAGCTGCTTACAATAGGGGTCCTGCTCAAACATTCTAAATACATCAGAAAAACCATTGACTCTACTTTGACAGTGACTGCCCTGCGTGAGGCGTGAGGCGGAGCACATCGGAGCAATCTTGTTGTCACCGGCGGCTCGGTCCCGCTGGCCGAGGTCTCAGAGGCGCTCCGAAGTGGGGCAACGTCGGCACAGATGCGCCAGGGTCCAGACGTCGCCACAGCGGTTCGAGCAGTCTGCTCGCGTGTCAAGATCGCCGTCAAGGGAGATAGCGCCTCTGCGATCTGCCGGATTTCTGAATCAAGGGGAGAAGGAAATGCGGGGAAAACGCCCGGCTCCCCTTTGCCTTCTCAAGAAGTGCCTCGAGCTCGGAGTCGAGAGTCTCAAAGCGGAAGCGCTCCTTCGCTGCAGCATCCAAGAAAACCCGAAGAGTTGCTGCGGTATGTGCTCTTTTCTGCTCGAATCGCGCTGCAGTCCTCATCCTGAAGACATCCCAGCAAGGCATCTTTGATCCGTATCTGCGTCGCGGCACGATGAGTATGCCAGCGTCTTGCGCTGCTACAATGCTAGAAGGCAGCTCTTCGGTACGTTGAGGCGAATGCCTGATGGCGAAGCGCTGAGATCTGCAAGTCCTTCGACTGCAGCCTTGGCTCTAATCTGATGCGCCCAAACACTCCTATGTCTGGCCCTTCATTCCGAGTCCCGCACTCCCCCATGAGATCGCGAAGCTTCGAGGAACGCCGCTCTAACAACGCCTCGCACTCCACGCTTCCATCTTCCATTGCAACGCTCAGGGTTTCCCATCCTGCTGCTTCAGGTCGGTCTGCAGGGCCTGGAGCAGCCACACACGGCAGTGCCCTGTTTTGCCCTTCCAGATCCACAGACCCATAGACCAGGGCCTCCCCTGGCATCGATGCCCGGACGTCCACGTCCATCGACGCCTAGAACTTCGATCCGTGGCACGAACCGAGCTGTGAAAAAAACACTCAGTGACTCTGAAAGTAACAGGGACATAAAGATGTCAGAGGTGCTAGGCATGCTAGGCCTGTGGATCGTTGCAAGCTGAGCACTTCGCCCCTTGCGCCTTTGCATCGACACTCGTACTCGCCTGAAGGCGGCTCGCTAGCGCTTGCAACCAATGCTGATCATCAAACAAGCACACGCGAGAGAAGAGGCCCCAACAAGCGCACCCGTTTCACAACCTCAGCAACATTCTAGGGTCGTGACCCGGCAGTGATGTGTCGAGCCGGTCGGGCTGGAGTGTAAGGCGACAGCTGCTTTCCAGAGTGGAACTCCCCGAAGCTTCGCCCCCAGTGTCACCGGTGCCTGGACCAAAAAATTATCGTTCAACTTGGACATGTGCGCCCACATGGTGCCAGGCCTGCAACCCACAAAACATCCTCCGCCCTCGCAGAAGGTGTCGGTATTCGCCTTCGAAGATTGTATGCGTCTGGCATTGAGCTTGTGGCTTCGCGGCTCTTGGCTCAAGACGAGGCATTGGGCGACACGAGCGGTGACAGTACCTTTCATAAATCAATTGCAGCTCAGCCCTCGTGAGGGTGGAAAGAGGTTCAATAGCATCACGAAAGCAAACATGCACCTCTTTGGGTACGTCCAAGCTCATAGTCTTCGACCTTGTGACTGCAACAGCGACTCTAGTCGATGTCCTGTGCATCCAACATGGGACCTCGTTGGTGATCCTCGCGTATTCCTGGTCCTTGGAACTGGCCTAGCCACAGACAAGTCAAAGTAAAAGGCCTTGCGCCCCGAAGGATGCTCGACATCTCATTTACACCTTGCCTCACTATGCGAGGCTTTTCTCTGCGCGATGCCTTGGAATTCCAGAATTCCTCGTCTTGATGCACAACATGCATAGTCCGGTACGGGTGGAAAAAACTGGGGGGGCTGCAGCAGAATTCCCCCCGGAGGAGCCTTCCCGCGCCGAGACGTAGTGGCCATAAATCACGCAACGACATCTGAAACCTGGAGGACTTCGCGGTGCAGGCGTGTTGCCGGTGCCAGAGCTCGCTGTTGAGGCCTGCATGCGCATGCTACTTTATTATCATGATTATTATTATTATTACTATTATTATTATTACTATTATTATTATGACTACTATTAATTGTCTGAAGCACAAAACTGGGACTCCTGGGTTCCATGCCTTGGCCCTGGCAGCACTGAGCTCCTCATGCAGGCCAAGGGCTCTCATTGCGTCTTCAGCATGCTGGGCGTTTAGTCCCCTTGCTCCATCCATCCTGGCATTTCCCGGCCCACTTCCCAGAGCCCGTCTCTATCTTGTTGGCACAAGTTTTGGCTAATTCAATATGGATCGGGACACTGCCCACTGCCTCGCTGCTTCTGGGGTTCAGAAGAGACTGGCGCTGCCCAGAGCAACACAGGAGGTCCCACTAAAATGGTGGTCCTGCAGGAGTTTGGGGCCCTTTACTATTATTATTAGTATAATTATTACTACTATTATTACTACTATTATTATTACTATTATTATTACCATTATTATTATTATTGTTATTGTTATTGTTGTTACTATTATTATTATTTTTATTAGTATTATTATTGTTATTATTATTGATATTATTGTTATTGTTATTGTTTGCTCTTTTTCCACATCACAGAAAGGGCAACTCGACAACTCGCTCCTCGGCTTCAGCGATGCGTGTGCGGGCCTCCGCAAGGCTTTCTTCCAGCTCCTGCAGGTATAATACGTCAGTACGTGAAGCTTTTGGGGCATTTCTCATCAGATGACTTTCCAGGGCAGTTCGCTGCTTTTCTGACACGCGCGTTGAATCCATATCTTCTCCATCAGACTGACATTCACTTTGGTCAGCTGCTGCTCCGGTGCAAACCTGGCCAGGGAGTTTAGTACTGAGATTTTTGTGTCGCGGCTCCTCCGCAAAGGGTATGACTCGGTCACTGAGCTGAAGTCTACAGTTCCATCAGTTCCCACGTGCCACCATCACTTCACCAGCACGACTCCAGAAAATGGGTCGTGAATTTCAGTGAAGGGTTCTTGCCGGAACTGGCCTGCGAGAGACTCTGCACGAGATTGGTCCAGGCTTTGACCTGCTCAGTTCAAGTGCAAGGACTGCAAGGAGTCTCTTTCGGAAGACCAGGTGTGGCCTCGGAATCTGTCGCATTCGTGCGCTGCAAGCTCCGTGCCTGGGTTGTGCAAGAGATCGCATGAGGCAACACGACTGTCTTCAGTGCATTCCAGGGCCCCAACACACTCTGCAACCACACGGAAGAGCCGGTAAGTGTACAGGCACTTCCTTGCACGCTGCCAACTCCACAGCAGACCGCTGTTCAGCTCGTGCCACCATGCCTTCGTCCACGGCCATGCCACAGCTCTGCCTGTCAAGTCTTCTCGCGGCTTCATGAACCAATGTCAAAACATAGGATATAGGCGTAGCAACAGAGTGGGAAACGGACATTCGCACCCACAGCCAGCTTTAGATGCCCATCAGAGAACCAGCAAACAGAAACTGCCTCGGATACCGTTTTGCTTAGTGCCAAGTCCTAAGCCGAAAGCCATGCTGGTGCGCCTTCGCGGGATAGCCCTGCACCTGACAGTCCGGAACCAGCATCCATCGGTGGAGGGCCCGAAACCCTCCCCAGCCTGGCCTCCAAGCGAGCACGACACAGCTCTGACCAGTCCGATGTCCACACCGGCGCTGGGATCTCATTTTGGGGCACACCTCCGTCCGCTGCTTCGGTGGCCTGCCGCAGCACTTCTTGTTCTTGACACATCTTGAAATGCTCCACGTGCTGGCTTCAGAGATCAGCTGCCTGCGCACTTGAGCAAGACGGCGGCTCTTCTTGAACCTGTGCACACAGGCGGCCAAATCATGATGGTAGCAGCGCTTCATGGAGAGACGGCCCCTTCGTGATGTTAACCAGAAGTTGACATATCGACCATTGAGAGTTTGCGTGATTTGAACAAGCACCGCACTCACGTTCAATCTCCTGCGCGCCAGCCAACATTTGTCGGTCTTCCGGAGAAGGGGACTCGTGCGCACCCCGAAGCGTGTGTGAGAAAGAGGGAGAGTGAGTGAGTGAGTGAGACGAGAGAGATTTAAGCAGAGGTGTGTTTGCTCAAACTGCCTTGCTGCAGTACGTAACCCTTGGACAGGGTAGTGAGTGCGAATGGGGAATGGTTGACATGCTTTGGGCAAATATGAACCTAAGCTACCACAGACTTGAGTCAGACACGATGAGCAAGAGGCACACCAATCTACATGCAAAAAATTGAACTAGCATATGTACACATGTTGAAGGGCTAGTTTGTGTGTATGGCGATGTAGCACCCTTCCTCTCCCGAAACTGTGATACTTCAACTGCCGATGATTGCTACGATGATACAGCCACTAGCAACACCGCTTACAAATGTTTACATAGTGACATAGTATGCATGCTCGAAACCCTTGAACGAACGAAAGCAATTCAATCCTGATACTGCAAAAGAATGCTTCAACCACATCTGCTCTGCATAGTTGACAACTTCGGCATGCGAACTTCGACGAATATGGTGCAACGAACGACAAGAACTTTGATAATGTCCACATTCCCATGCCACATGATGGCTTGTCGCATGTAACCCAGCGCACTGCGTCCCATGCCTCCTCGAAGATGCGCGCCAGCACCACGGCCTGTCAGCAGAGCAGTGTCGCGGAGGTTTGCATAAGATACAATGACTAGTTTACGCTTTGCACGGATTCGCTGCCGAATGAACAACTCGGGCGCGTGCTACCGCATGTGACAAGTTTAAGGATGGACAGCTGCCAGTCTGCAGTCTACAGACCTCGAGCAACAAGCCAACAGATTCCCCCAAAACTCTGCAAGTCTTCTTGAAGTGATGTTCGTCACTGAAGGAAAAACAGTGAGGCTCGACTTTGAACCTGGCATCTGTGCACAGCAGCACAGACTCCGTCGAAAGGCCAACATCCTGCTGCGCGAAATTCTCAAGGAATCACTTGCACTGCGGCGCTTCGCACAGCTCAGCACAACAAGCACGGGCCGAGGTCGGTCCTCTGAGCCGAAGACTAGGGCAACTTGTCTCGAGAGCCCTGCCGTGCAAAATACACACACATACACACCACCACCATCACCACCGCCCCTTTCTTCCCCTCTTTGCAGCACTCCTTCGCCAGACTTGTCGCTCGCTGCGACTTGTCCGACCTGCGATGATATCAATGCAGACTCGTCTCTCTACGGACGACCTACATGATGTTAAGTCTTGAAGCACATCAACATGTCAACAAACGCCTGGAAAGCTGCACTAAACTCGTGCCGGGACCACAGCTTCTGCAGTCGAAGTCGAAGCCAGCTTTTGGGCCAGCATTTTGAGAGTCAATGTTGGTTCACCTTTGGATAAAGTGTCATGAGCGTTGCTTTCATCGCGGTGTGTTCTGATGTTCGACTCGAGGGCATGACGGAAGTTCCGACCTTGGCGTCCGGAAAACGCGATGGAGAGGCCTTGCCATCGCGATGTTGCATTCATTGCATTCAGCCAGACTCAGAAATCCTCCGAAATCCTGGGATCTTGAAAACTTGCCTGCGCCAGAGAGTGCAGCTTTCAGGTTTCCGTACAACTTTGCCGACTGCAGGACCTCTTCACCCTGTCGGCAATGTAGAACACCGACAGAGAACACTTACGCCGCTAAGATCTCTCGCGCCGATGTCAGATGATCTTGGTCGAGCCTCCGTAGTCGCCAAGCGTTCACAGCCCTTCCATGCTGAAAGGTCCAGTGCCTGAGTGCAACACAACACGTGCAAGTCGGCTTCAAAGCCTTCCGGTCTATCAGCATCGGATGGGTTCTTTCTGCGCTTTGGGCCCGAGCACAGTGCACGCTGCTGCTGCTGCTGCTGGGAGCCTTGAATGCATAGCTGTTGGGGGGTTCATCCGGACAGTATCATAGGATACCAGTGTCAAATGCTGTCCCGTCTTTCAACCGTTACAGCGCCTCGGTGATCTGCTCGGCATCGATGCCAAGTTGGCGAGCCTGAAGGTGTCATTTAGCAAGAGATTTCTGTCAAGCGTGCAGGAGGTCCGTGGGTTTAGAAAAAGCCCTGCCTTCTCTGCCGAACGGCGTGCCCGGCTCACAGCAGCCTCCAACTTAGCCGCATGCACAACCTGAGTGCCCAAAAAGCAGACCATGCCATCTTCTGTATTCCATGAAAGGTTTCAGGTAGAGGAGCACCCTGTGGCTCGAACGACGAGCTCACGAACGCTGAAGTTGGCGCAAGCGCGAGCCACCTCACGTGAAGGCTGGGGAGCCATTCAGGAGGAAATATTGATCCAACTTGAACTTGAGAGGCCAGGCTCACTGCCATGCCCACATTTCGGGCATCGCGGGGCTCGACAAGGACAACCCGACATGGAAGCGGCCTGAAACCACTCCAGGCAGTGGATGGACCCTTCTGATCCCAAAGAAACGTTCAACGTGTTTCGTACTATTCTCACAGCACGCACCGAATTCCCCGCGTTGGCCCGACCCGAACCTTTGTTGGCCTGATCGCACCTTGGATTGGCCTACTACACCTGGTCAGTTCCGGTGCCTAGGAGGCAAAGCAGGAGGAGGAGGAGGAGGAGGAGAGGAGATTTCTGTTGTGAGATGATTGGAGCAGAGCGTTGCAACCAGTATCTTCTTAAGAACGACTCAATCCGTGAGGAAAAGGGGGCTCTTCTGTTTAAGATGTTCTAAGACTCCTTCTTTGGCGTGCAGTTGCTGGAGTCCTCACGACTGGACAATTTCAGCACTTGACCCGCTGAGGGGCAGGTTGGAAAGGGATCCATGACAGACCTTGCAGAGATCGCGAAAGGCCAAATATCCTCCGACAACCTGTGTAACATAGATAGGACGGGTCAGGCGTTTCGGATCCACGGCAGACAGGAATCTGCGCACAGGATCCAGGAAGACGCGAATCAACTCAGCCAGCACACGCTGAGATCAATGCAGAATCGAAACTGGCAACACAACCCAAACTCAAGCAATCAACCCCAAAGCCGAAGAACCAAACATCAGGGCTGCTTGCAGGAGTCGATTTGCCGCAATGTTCTGAAGTTCCGAGCACAGACAGAGCTCGCACCCGCAGCTTCCACGAAGTATGACGTGCTTATTGAACTGGAGGGAAGAGAGAGAGACTCTATGATAATTCAATATGGCATCCAGTACTGCCTGCAACGGGCCTGCCTGGTACCAGGCTCTGCCATCAGCTTGTTGATTCTGCTGGTAGCTGCTGCGCTCAGTAGCCTTCGTGATGCCCTTCAAAGACCATTGCTAGTTCTCGCATCCACATGATCCACATGTGTCGAATCGGCTGGTACTGTGGAGTGAAGCCAAAGCTGCCAAGAGTAAAATGACGTCAAGCGATTGCATCGCCCAAGACTCACAATTCATCATGCAACTGATGGCTAAAGGCTCTGGCTGTCATCGAGCATGCGCTCAAAACACTGTCCTTCTGGAATTTGTCTCGCATCTGCAGCTCGATTACCCTTGGCATCACGTCCAACAACCTTCTTGACAGCAGCTGCTTCTGTTGTGACCTCTCGTGCCTGAGGCTGCTGCAACTGCTCGGCGCGATGCTTTTCGACCTGCAGCCTTGCCAATGACAGAGCTCCGACCAACTCCAAATCATCTTTGTACATACTATACATACACCATGTTCGGGAATGAAACTCGCCTCCATCGGAGGCTGCGCGACTCCACTGCATGTCTCAGAGCCTGGGACCGCAAAAAGGAATGGAAGACACATCGCTCTGCAATGCAATGGGGAGCCAGGCACGAAAGCGCTCCGAAAGAAGATTTGCTTCCCGGCTCTCTTCCTCCAAGCCTTGTGCCAGGAGTCACCCCAAGTTGGCCCTAGCAGGCATGCGCACGCGTTGAGCGGGCCTGGGCGGCTTGAGCTGTAACTTGGAGTCGGCCTACAGGCTGCGAGATGCTGCGAGCAGGTGCGAGCAGGTGCTCAAGTCATCACGGGGTACCTGTCGTGGCCGGCATCTTCGCGCTGAGCATGTCTCAGTCGAACCTGACCCAACACCAGCTGCATTGACATTGCAAGGCGGTGGGCTGAGAGTGGGAGCAGGCCTCTGCCAAAGCCTGCTCTTGGGCGAGAAGTGCATCCTTTTGGACTGGGGGAAGTGGCATCAGCAGGATCGAAACATGAAAGGAAAGACGAGCCTCCATGGCACCCATGGCCTTCTGGGCTGAGAGCGCGAAGGGCTTGAAGACCTTCCAAAGAAGTCAATATTCATCTCCAGAAGTTGGACCGAATGCATGTGCCTCATCGTAGAGATGCCAACTCATGGCCTGATTCGGGGGCTGCTCTCATTGCACATGTCACATCTCTGCTCGACATGGCATCCCGTGAATCACACAGTTGCCATGGTCCTCCACGTCCTCCTCTTCATCGTCCTCTTTTTGAGCTCCCGGGACGGCCTGTTTTTGGAGCCATCTCTGAGAATTGTAGGAGAGCCACTCATGGGTCTCAGGTTGGATGGACCTAGACTTCTCGGACACTTCGCCGTGTCGTGCACCAGTGCAGCATCAGAACCACGGTGTAGCGACTAATTCGAGACCGTGGGCCTGAGTCAGATCTGGCTCCGACAGTTCGATGCCAACTGGCCTGCGGCCAGCACCAGAACTTCTCTGCACAGAGACTCGCAGAGGCTACGGTAAGAGAAGCCTCAGGCTGTCAGAGCCATGGACAGACGAGGCCTGAAAAAGCATGTCTTCTGCAGCACATCTTTGCTGCAGGGCAAACCAAAGGCCTCCTCAGGTATGAAGAAGCTCTTGCCGGAGGAAGGCCTCCACTGCCGAAAGGCCGGGAACGCAATTGCATGCAGTTGCTGTTGGAAAAGTCTCGAAAGAAAGTGTTTTTGGGCCTCCTCAGCGACCTTGTGCTGCTCGTTGCGGCAAGTGTGGCACACTGAGCAAGCGACACTTCGAAGGCGCAAGTAGCATGCTTACGTTTCTCCCAAACCTTAGCACGCACGCTACACCTGCAAAGCACCGGCCTTGTCGGCATCGTGCGTTGGAGCCTCCTTCTGATGCTGACAGATGAACCGCAACGGGCAATTCATTAACCTCATGACATGTCATGACTCACTGTACATGGTCATTGACCTCGGGTTACAACGCATCTGCTCTGGCCTGTCACTCTGGCTCACTCTGGTTTAAGTTTTGCAGCTACCTGCAAGTACGAGCTACTGGTACCACCGTGTCTGAAGTGTCATCTCCTGCAACCTGGCTCCCACATGATACAATCCTTGCGGCTCCTGCGGCAAGCCGCCGAGCTCAATGATGTGTTGATTCGCACCTGGGACACGGCTGGATTCTTGTGTCAGACCCTTTCTTGGAATGCATTGTCTGGGAGGGTCGGAGTGTCGGCCGATGCTTCCTTCGTAGCTAGGAATGGCAATCATGATAGAACAGATATGCTTTGCAATTCTCAACGAGGAAGTTTGCCGGAGATCTTCGCGGGATGTGCGTCGCAGGTGTATGGGTGGGTGCGGCCTCCCGCACAAAGAGAATTGCACTGAACCTCCGTGCAGTACCTTGCCCAGTACTGCAGCCAAGGAACCCAGCAGCTGCTTGTGCAGTTTTCCAACCAGGACGAGAAGCTGTTCCGGCGAGTAGGTGTAGTTCACCTCGGAAGTCCACACTCTCCGATTCATCGACTATCAAGACTCGCCCAAGGCTTGCCAAGAAACCTTCGCAATGTTTCGCACCTCGACTGCTCTGGAAGTGCAAGCGGCTGCAAGTATCTCTGCTGAACAACTTGGCTTTGGGCACTCTTTGCTCGCGTGGCAAACCGGAGCGAAGAAAGTGTCTCATCCTCGATTGCTTCCACGCGATTATGTGTCACTGCGGCATCTCGTACTGCCGTCCCTCTGACAGCTGCATGAACGCATGAACCAATGAAGTAACTCAACCGATCGCATCCCCGTTGCAGACCCACGGCAAACAATTGCAGCTGGGGCAGTTGCGGCATGTTGCGAAAAGGGTGAAGCAGCCACCAGCAGCGTCGTGCGACAGTTTCCACCCAACGCCTTCCGTACAACACGTGACAGTGGCGGGGCTTGATTATGGACATGTCATGTAGCGACCAGATGCTACTGGAAGGCGGCCATGCAGTCACCAATGCATCCGCAGATGTCAGCAAACACAGAGGTTGATCTTCCGTCAGCTGATGCGCAGCAGACCGGGCTCACCGTCCGTGCTGTACAGCGTCCAGGCGGCGTGGGCAAGGCGGCTCTGTACAACGGGAATTACCTTTGGAACAAGTGCATGCAGAAGAGAGCTGCTGCTGACTCACTGTCTTCGCCCACCGGCTCGATCAAGCGAAATAAAGCAGCCAAGCACTGCAGCACTATGGTAGGGATGGTAGGGGATGATGTGGGATGAGAACACAGCTTCAGCAACTTTCCTCTCAGAGCATTACCACTTTGGCACTTTAAGACTGCCCGCCAATCTAGTCGTACAGGTCCACATCAGCAGTTCGGCCCCACTTTGCCTCGCACGGACGAGGGAGACTCTGCTACGTTGCCATGAAGGATTGCAGGGAGGTCTGCCTCTTCACAGGGCGGCACTGTGAAGCCCTCGTGGTGGTGTCTGTTCGTTGCAATCTCGGCCAGTGGCGCATGCATGGTGAGTTCAATTCTAAACTGACATGGCTTCGAGGGCCCTGCCACTTGCGGCTGCTGGAAGCACATTGGGCACATGTCATTCCTGCGCATGCGATGACGGGCGATGAGGTGCATAATGTGCATATCAGGACACAAGTCAACACGCCTGATCCCACTAGACCGGCACCACAGGATGAGGTTGTGCCGTGTTCCGGATGTAATGGGGAGTGCCTGCTCACAGGACGTTGTACCTCACTCCCTGGTATTTTTCGCGCGAAGCCACTTGCCTTGTGTAGTTCCAGGCCAGCGTGGAATATACCATAGCCCTTTCGCAAGGACACTTCGAACGGAGGACTCTCCTCCTTGGAGGTTGCCAGGCCATAGTAGGCTACGTGTCCTGTCACTTTCAACTTTCAACACTTCAGCTCACATCTCCATGGGGAGCTGGGCTGCCTCCTTGCCAGGTGCCACCGATGTTCACATTGAGGGTGACCTGGGCCGCACTCCATGCAGAGCCAGATCTACGCAAAGCTTTCGTGGATTTTGGTGCCAGGCCTCAGCGTTGTCATAATGCATGGCTAGGCCTTTGTCTCCATCCTGCGTCGCCTCGTACAACCTAAGTCTAAGTCGCATGTAGTCTGAACGCTGTCCACATCACCCGTGCTGGTTCTAGCTTCAACATCTTTCTGCTGCTGCCACAAGTGCAAGTTGACATTGCCATTTAGAACTTCTGCATACCAGGCGGCACAGTAAAGCCACGGTAGGAGTCCAGAAACTCTGTGAATGCAGGTAGAAGGCGACCTTGGGTTGGGGTGCAGCGAACGGCGAACAGCGTGAGCCAGGCCACGAAGCCAAGGGTTTGGCTGGCAAGGACATTCACATGCTCGAAAACGAGTGGGTCTAGCAGCTCTTCAAAGCCCAGCTCTGACATGATGACTCCGTGGCCTTGACGCACACCAGACTAGCGTGCGCGAGTCGCGTTCCGTCGTTTCCTATGCTTCATGGCAAAGGCTGTGCGCTGTGCTGCGGACGGTTCATCGTGTTGGGCGCAGAGCGTGGCAAACCTGACAGTCCATCGAAGCGGGCAAGGATCCCAAGGCCCCACCGCCTCCTCCCGGTCTTTCCTGAAGCTCGAAAGTGGCCCAGCTCGGATTCGAAAGCATCGCAGAAAGCCGTGGTGAAGACTGGGAAACTCCAGATGCCCGGGCGCAGCTCCTCGTGCAGGAAACTTCATTGATATATTCGCGGCTTAGAGCACGACGGCAGTCTGCTCGGTTCCACGGCTGATGCTGCGGGCGGCTCCTCCAGAAGACCTTCAGATTTTAAGCCAGCAATGCTGGCTGCCTTTGTTCCGGACGCACGTTGCAAGTGAAGCACCGTTGCAGAGCTTTCGAAGCGGCTAATGAGGAACTGCAAGTCTGACTGTTGCTGGAGGACTGCCGGCCCGGAGACGCGCAACCCCTGCACCACCTAGCAGGTCCAGCAGTATTCAACGCCGACGCAAGTTCAGCAGCAATCTCAGCCACCTTTAGAAAGCCAGGATCCAGGAAAGCAGGAGCATTCAGGACGTAGACCTGGGGCCAGCAAGACGCGTTCTTGGGCCACGGAAGTTCCATGGAGAGATGCACACACCATGGCATTGGGGCCTCGGGGTGGAGGCGAGTGTAGTGTTGAGCGATTTTGTCTACGCGCTGCATGGTGCGATCTGGGGCCTCGCAGCGCTTCGACGCTTTCTGAGAGCTGAAAGAGAGGGCAGATTGCATGGCATCTCAGGTGCCCACGCTGAGACGCTCCTGCAGCGAGGAGCGAGGAGCGAGCAAGGTACGAGGACAGTCTTCGCTCTTCTTTGCTCTTCTTGGCCCTTTGTGGCCTCGCGCTGCCGTCGCAGATCGGCCAACACATCAGCCACCTCGCAGCCCGTTGCAGACAGCCTGAGAGCACAGAAGCACCAGATGAATCACACGGTCAATACTATGCCATACCTCACTATCAATGATAAAGCGCACCCAAGGACATGGCTCGTCGCCATGTTGCCGGTAGAACTCGACATCGTCTCCCCTGCCAGCATCAGAAACCACGACCCTTTCAAGGTGCGGCGCCTTGGGCACAGCTCCTGCCTGTACATGAAATGCTTCCCGACGCTTTTGACCTTCATGCTAACCACGACACAGAACCCGCTGCTACTTGTGAATAGCACCCGCTCCGCTGCTCGACTTTTGAATTGAAACTTGCCGTGCCAAGCAGCAAAGTAGTTGTGAGTCACTCGGCATTGGCCTCATGCAAGGGCATCTCACTCACATACGTTATTCACTTGTGGATGTGGGCTCAAGGCAATCATGACTTGATGCAAGTGCTTCTGCCCGTACAACCATTACACCATCGCTGCCCGGATTACAAGAGAGGCGATCCCAAGGAAGAGATTGACTCTTGATCAGAAATGCCTACCTGAGCAAGATCGCCCCCTCCTGAACGTAATACGTTCAATTACAGGGATGTGCAGTCCCTTTGCAGGCCCGCAGACCTGGGACTGAAGGATTTGATCCTCTGTCTCAGATGATCTTGCAACTACCGAGTTTGGGGACAAACGGCGAACCCCTGTCGCTCGGCTGTGGTGCCGACTGCACACCATGCTGCAAGCACATGCACAGAGAGAGAGAGAGAGAGAGAGAGAGAGAGAGGCAGACAGACACAGTGCACAATCGGCTGGGAGCGCTAGATCAACCCAGATGTGTTCTACGATTCTACAGCCAGGATGCAGGTCCAATAACTCGAAGAGCTCGCAGGCTGCCCTCGGCTCATCTCTGCTTCCTGCGAGAGATGAACTGTGCCTCCAGCTTACTCTTCAGGGCTCCAGCCTCCCAGCCTCCCCACGTGAGCGATTGAAGCCGCGGTCTTGGGTGAGGCCCATCAGGAATGCACAGGGCGCCGCTGGAGTTAATTTGGGACATGTTGAGAGATTCTCCGCTGTGGTAACTTGCTTGAAAGACTGCGATGCAACGGAACTCAGAATGTAATCAGTACCTTTTCAGACATGCTGGCGTTGCTGTAGCCGAAAACACGGTAGGCACTCAGTAGCCAGTCTAAAACCAGGGTTACACATTGTGCCGAATCGAACATGCCGCCCAGCCTCCTGCAAGACACGCGTCAGCTTGGAGTCCCGATAAGGAACGTGAGAGCGTTGCTCCGCGAGAGCATCGATCACTTTGCCTCGGCATTCTACTGAGCTTCTCTACTCTCGAGCTCTGTGCATTGACCCCCAGCAGGCCTGTCCGTGCGTTTCGGGGCTCGTCCTGTTAGTATCTGGGAATCCAGCCCAGTGCACTCAGAGACCAGTTGATCTTCTTGGCCTGAATTTCGGCTTCAACATTTTGAACTCTGCGACCCTGGCGACCAAACTGCGACTTCCAGCTCCGTCGAGGCTGCTACTTCCTCGAAAGTCTCGCCGACGCATTCGTTCTTGGACACTTTCTCACTTCCTGCGAGGTCGACAAGCGTCAACCTGAGGACAGCAGACGCCAGCAGAACTCGACGATGAACTCGAAGATCATCTCGTATGATCCACTCAGTGCGGAGCTTACCCAACCGCTCCTCGCCCTGCAGGGACTGCTGCTCAACCTTGGTTCCGCCGTCAAGACAACTGACAACCGACCATACCGACACGCCGGGAGCCGGGCATGGAGTACAAAAACAACATGAGAGCGCGAGGAGTAGTTGTTGCAGCGGGTGCGGCCAACAGCTCGCGTCCGCAGACCTCCAGAGATTGCAAACAGGAGCAGAAGCTCGGCTGGTTGGGCCCATTGCAACCGCAAGGCCTGCGCGGATGACGGCCATGACGTCGGAAGCACAGGTCACATATTCGCGAGATAGGCCATCCACGAAAAGACCGCGCTGTGGCAGCTCCTGTCAAGTAACCAAGGGACCCGCGCTGCAAATGGATTTTGAACTCAAGACCCGATGTCACTTTTTGCCTTGACACGGAGCATCTCACTGTTCGGGCGAAGTAGATCTTGCATCTTCTCCTTGTAGACCTGCGCATGGCAGTTCCAAAGAGTGTGTTGCAGGCAGCGATAATCCAGCAGTGGGCAAATCAAGTCTTCCTCTTTGTTGCAATCGAGCCAAGCATCATCTCATCAATCTTCTCATATCCCCAGGCACATATTCTGGATGCCCAGCTGTCAGGTGAAAAGAATCCCAGCCCAGCCTTCAGCACAAGAATGCTTCTGAAAACCCCAATGCTTCACGCTGATGCCGACCGACAGAAAGCAGACCCTGCCTGCGCCTCGAAAATCGTTATCGCAAATCAAACCACTCAGCTGTCACCGTAGGAGGCGACCTCCAAACGGGCGGATCCGACGTCCACCACCAAGAAGCCCTGGCAGCGCCGTACTGGTACACAAGTTACAGTGGCAGCTGCTTGCAAGCAGGGCAGGCAGGCCAAAAGCAGAAGCGCGAACACTGAAGCCACGTTGAAGATCTGTCAACAGCATAGCAGGAATCGCGAAAATACCGAAAATTTATGAAGACACTGAGGAATTGGCCACGTTGGAGGTAGCAAACTGCGGCGTCTCGGTCGGTGGCGGCTTGCCATACTGCTCATCCAAGTCCTCTTGGAAGTGGGGCCAGCGGGGAGAACTCGTGGACAGGGAGTAAACCAAGAACACGAGAACCATCAAAGACTCTGGGTCCGTCGGGCGACGGTCCCTCTGAGCTTGAAGAGCCTGGGCTGGCAGTTTCTGGCTTCTCGCTCTTCTCGCTTTCAGCTCACCACACACCAGGACTTCGAGCTCCGAGCCGTCTCGGACTTCTGGCCTGCTTGAGCCCGACTCGCACCGTTTCATCCACGGCTCGTAGTCTCGTACAACGATAGCACTTTACAGTAAGCGTCACGCCGGCACGGAGCGAAGAGGACCTGAAAGGAGCAGAGGCCCCACAGCAAGGCAGCGGAACTACATCGAGCTCATCTCTCAACAAAAATATAAGTGCTCGTTTACTCAGCAACACTTCCGAAGAACGAGCCACGCACGGCAAGGGAAGCCAAGCCGACACGGTGCAAGAATACAGGATAACCATTACAGGTGCGCTCAATCGCACACGGGCATGCACCCAAGCGTGCACAAGCAGCACAGGCATCCACTCTCGTCACCCGAATATTCACGCTCACCCCCTCGCAGGCAGTCGAAATCAGATTGCATGGCAGATCATCGTGCGCAAATGACAGTTAAGTTACATCGCAGGGATCGCGTACTTGTTCGCCGAGCCGACAAATTGGACCAAGCTGCCACAAATGGCAAAAGCTCACATGAAGGCAGGCAACAGGTACGCTTTCAGCACCGCAGCATCAGCTCGTCGTTGCTCCCTGACGGTAGGTGAAGCAGCTCAGGGAACTTGCAGGGACCCCTGGTCGGTCCAAAAGGGGGTGCACAAGCACGCATACATACGTACACACACACACACAAAGACACAGAGACACGGCCTTGCTCACGCATCGTCCGGAGTACTGAGTCCGGCACGGAGCTACAAAGGTCTCCGAGTCAGGCCTGGCTGTGCTGAAAACCGTTCCCTCAAGATGCTAATCGTAACTCCGAGTGCTGTGCAGCAAGGAGTAGAGGCTGAAAACCTCTGCGTGGCGTAGCTGAGCCCAAACAATGCCAGGTGCGTGTCAGAATGACTTTGGGTTTGCTCTAAGCCCACTCAGCCGGGTGCTGCGGCCAGTGCAGTAATCGCAACGACAAGGCATGAAAGTCGCGATGCCTCGCGAGTCTGAAACATCTTGACCCCGGTCCGTTATTGCTGCCACCTGCTTATTGAGATGCATAAGGACCTGACCATTGCTCGGCAACCACAATCTTGGGGCACTTGAAATCTACTGCTTAGGCTTGCTTGGCAAATTCGCGCTGGCCTCAGAAGGTCAGTAACGAAAGCTTCGACACTACATGAGTGGGGGCAGACTCAAATCGCCGAGCGCACCATGAGCTTTTTGCCTTCTCCGCTCTGCTCAATCAAGACAGCGAAGCTGGATTAAAGACATCCGTGACATCCGCAAACCAATTGTGCGCCATGTCTCCTAGCCAAGAAAACGGTTGTAACGAATAACCAGCCGTCTCATGCCGCAGTGATTCAAAGTGGTATTACGTTGAGCACAGTCTGTGCACTCTTCAGTTCGCATCTTAGGAGGCTTTTGACTACACTGACGAGTGATGCCATGACATGGCAGCGTGCACTTCGAGTAATTAGTACCGAACATTCTTCGTAAGGACGTCGGCGTTGCACCAGTCCTCAGCAATTACACAAAGAAGTCTGCTCTGCGGGACAAGCGGGAACACGGCCGGGTCTCCTGCTGAATTGCACTGTACAGGCATGAGGGCGAGTCAGCGCTGACTGTCCTCCCAAGGCAAGGCACTCGGTACTAGTAAGATGGATTGGCCCTTCATGCAGACATGGCTCCCCCAGAAGACCGCTGAGGAGCTCTTCGCGCTGCCTGAGGGCTTGTAAGTGATGCTCACGGCCGACTCTTCCAAAGCAGCTCCACCTCTCCAGCAGATACCCGAATTCGGAAACCTGGCTTGGAGCCGGAGCAAAAAGAATGCGAGGTCCGAGGACGGCTAGCTGCAGGTGCATTTGCAATCCGCCTTGTTGTCCAGTGCCGTACACCTTTTGCGAAGCTCGCCAATGGTCTCGTCCTGGCGAGCGCCCTATTATCAGAAATCGAGCTGTCAGAAGAGGCACAGAAAACGAATAGTGGTGCAAGCTGAAATTTCTCTGAAGTGGGCACAGTCCTTGGCCTGCAAAGTTCTCTTGACTTTGGCCTCTCGACATGCGGCCCCCAACTATACAAGGCTACTACGAACACTTACAACCCCTGCAGACCTCCAAATCGGCAATGATCTGTTCTTCACGGCGCTGAGACTCCTTGCTCACTTCCTCCAGCTTCGCCTGCTCCTTCCAGCAAATGCCCGCCAAGAAAGAACGGAACATCAGCTTGCTATGCACAAGTAAATCTTGCAGCACAACGAAACTTAACCTAAACTTAACTGGGGTTCACCGGATCATTGCCAAACTTACAACACAAATACCAAAAAAACACTCAAATGAGTGATCTGGCATGCACTTGCAAGTGCTGAGCTTGGCTACGTCGACGTCCAACGCGATCCTCCTTGATTTGGGCCATGGCTTCACCCAAGCTTTGTCGAAGGTCTTGCAGCTCCTTCTGGCTCGTGGTTTTATAGAGACAGCATTGTTGAACTGTTGGGTTCCTGCACAGAAAGCCAGATCTGCATCGGGACATGCTGAAAGTATTCAAAAGTCCTTTTCACGAGTGTCTTCGAGCTGTTGAAGCTCGTTCTGATGCTTACGAAGGACCTGCCAAGCGGCAATGACGCAGCGATGGTATGTCACTCGTACACAGGCTTGGCACGGAGATGCCTCATCTGCAGCCCTCCGAAGCTCATTGCGGTCGCTTTCCAGGTCCATGCCTGACGTGCCAAGCACAGATCAGACAGGCGGTCAATTCGCTCCTTCGACGGCCCTCTGAGCCTTTTGCATTTCTGCTGGCATTCTGCAAGGCGCTCGGCGGAGGCCGTCTGACAATCCTTTCTGCACAGACTGAGAATGTGCCAAAAGAGACCGCTTCAGAGCCTGCCTTCATGCTGCAAAGCATTTCCTCCAGCTGCTTCTTCTGCTGCTGAACCAGCTTCGCCTCGGTTCTCACGATTCACAAGCTTCCAGGGTCCAACTTTCGTTTCACTCCAGCCTCCGCCCTTGCTTCTTCCAGCTGCTTGGCTACACGTGCGGTCTCCTCTCCTGCAGACTCTGACAAGAATGCAATTCGAGAAGGACGGCACAAAAAAGCCCCAAGGACCCCGACCTGCTGCCGCGCGCGCTTCCTGCAACTTCTTGTTGGCTTCGGTTTCCATGGCCAGCTGCCGCTCCACGTGTTCCCGGCTGAGGCGATCCATGACGACTTCCAACTGGCGATCACGCTCAGCGGCCAGCTCTTTACGCAGGGACGCCTCGCGTTCTTCCGTTTCCAGGCGTGCCTGGTCTTTCTGCGCCTTGTAGTTGGCTTCTGCTTGAGCTCGCAATCGTGCTTCCAGCTGAGAAAGCTGGTCCTGGTGCTGGCGGTTGGCTTCTGCGAGACGCTCCTCTGCTTCGTTCAGAGATGACTGAAGCCGCGCACGTTCTGCAGCAAGCGCTTCTCGTAATTTCACCTCCGAGCCCTCGGCAGCCTCTCGGATGAGCTCTTCACGCAACCGCCGCTCTGCCAGCAAATCAGCGGCGCATTTGGTCCTCTCCTCCTGCAACTCACGATTGAACCGCTCGAACTCGTCACGCACCTTCTGCCGGTGAGCTTCCCGCTCCCGATCGAGCGCTGCTTCCGTCTCGCGATGCTTCTGCTCGCGAAGTTCCTGGAGTTGCTGCTGCGCCAAGCTAAGAAGCTCCCTCCTCTGCTCCTCCAGGGCCTCTGTCTTCTGCTCCTCCAGGCGAACCTTCTCCTGCTTTCTTTCGGCCAAGATGCGCTCCACTTCAGGTTGTAGGCCTTTCACGGTCATGTCCTTGATTTCCTTTACCTTATCCTTTTCCCATGCCTCCCGCTTCAAGCGTTCCGTCGCAATCCAGTTTTGCTTGTTCTTGGCCAGCTCCTTTGCAGCATGGTCCTCCATCTCCTCGATCTTCATTTGATACTTCCGCTCCACGGCCTTGAGCTCGTCAGAAAAGAGTTCGCATCTTCTCGTGAGCTCTGTCTTGTCATTGAGAAGTCGATCGACCTTGGTGCTCATGATGCGTTCTGCCGCACCAGCTGCTCACACACACACACACACTAAGACGAGGTCCAGCTTCAGGTGCCGCTCACTGCCAGCCTGGAGGAATGGAGAGGTGAAGATGGAAGCAGCCAAGCCAAGTAAAAAGAGGGCACCTCGTACTGTGCCTTCTGCTGCTGCAACTTCTCCTCCCATTCCTTGACCTCGAAGGATCATGCACATCTCTGTGCTTCGCACTGGGCATTGCAACGGCAACAAAACCAGGATAGGATGACTCCGTGGGCAGCCTAAGTCTCTGACCGTGGCTTGCACCTTCTCCTTCTCACGTTCCTCACATTCCCAGCGTGTCTGCGCGATTCCGCGTGAGCAAAAAAAAATGCCGGGAGATCCTGAGACTCGTGGAGTGCCCTCTTGAGAGAGTCGATGATATGCTTCTTGTCTTGAACTTCCACCTGGTCATGTCCGAAAATACAAAGGCAGGCAAAGGCCTGAAGAAGTTCCATCGAAGCCGGGAAGGTGGCCTCCAGCATCGAGGCTCTGGATTGCACTGCTGTCGCATCCTGAAGCATGGGCTGCACATCCACCCTGACTTCCATACCAAAGTCACAACAGCTGTGTCCTGAGTCAGGCCTGATGGAACGAGAGACCTGTGAAAGGAGCAGATCCAGCAAGGCAAGCCCGCCGGCAACAGTGGCAAGCACGATTAAGGCGCGCCTTGGGACTTCGTTTTCGCCTTCCGACAGCGGTGACAGGGTGGTATCAAACAGAGTGACCTCGACTAAGTTGTTGCCTGCGCTTCGGGATGAACGAGTTGACAAGATAATCCTTGGGGCTCGTCTCTGACAGTCCGATGAGAATCGGCGGGCCCTCACGTAGACTCAATCTTACAGGGGCCAGAACGAGGAGATATCGGCTTTCGAGGACTCCTGCAAAGTGCGAAGACACCCGAAGTCTGCTTCCCTGCACTTCCAACAAGTGCCTCAACTTCGTCCAGGAAGCTCATGATGGAAGCCAGCCTCTCCTCTCAACTGAGCAAACAGGAAGGAGGAGAAGGCTCTCTTGGTGAATCCGACAGCGTCCTGCGGCTGAGCAGAGGCTGCCGGCCTGAATTGCTGTGTAAGGAGCCGACTAAGCTGACTACTACAACAGGGAAGCAGATTTCCGAAAGGCTGGATTGGGGTGCAGACGGCCCGGTCGGCTGGTCAGGAACCGGGGTCGTCTGCAGCACGTCTAGTGTTCGTGCTGAAGATCTAAATTTGCGAAAGGAAACACGGCAGTGAACCCTGAAAAGAAAGATATAACACATAACTGTCACCTCGCGCAAGCTTGAATCTGGAAACACTTCGGCTCCTCTGGCGCATGCGAATCGCCCTCGGTTTGCGAATCGCCCTCGGTTTGCGTTCTGAGCTCCTGCAGACAAGCAGGAGGTTTACCCACAACTCGGGCCGAAGAGGGTGCTTCTACGCCAGGCCTTGAGGGACAAAATGCGGGATCTCATCTGCGCCACCTTGTCCTGCCAATTCAGCATTGTTAAGGTCAACCTGCACTTTGCAGGCTCCATTGCAGCTGCTGGGCCGTGGTGGAATCCGAAGTCGAGGGCCTCCTGCAGCTGCACATCTGCCCCACACCGCCCCACGTCCAACTTCATGGAGCCTCGGAAGCAGCGTGGCTCCGGTGGGCGAAGACGATCTCACATCCTCCGGGGGGCAAGCAGAAAACGCAGGAACTCACACGAGTCCCCGTCCAAGGCCGTGGGCCTCTCCGTAGACGCTCGGGCAGTAGGGCTGACGCCTGAGGCATCGGCAAGTACGCTCTAGACAACTCTAGATCTGTCTCTCTCTGCCGGGGCGGCACGGCCTGGGCCCCGCAGCAAGCGCCTGAACAAAGAAGTGTGACTTGTTCGGCAGCTCGCGACCTTCGGCAGCATCATCACCAGAGTTGAAATGAACATCAACATCTTCCTGGCCTCCCGGCACCTCGAAGATGTCCTGCGACCACACGGGGATCAACAAAACAGCCACGGCTGATGTTGGAAACGGAGGCGGAGCCGGAAGAAAGCCCAAGGCAGGGTAGTGCGAGGTCTCAACATACACAGTCATGCAAAGGCGATACTGCGAGCATCAGGAATGGTCACTTGACGTTGAACTGCGGTGTTTCGTGACCTTGAGCTCGTTCGAGCAGTTGAGTCAGAGTTCAATGGGCACTTTCGGTCATGAGCTGTCGGTCGTTGCTTGGTCAGTTTCAGGCTCTGTCCTGAACCGACAGTCAAACTTCCAGGTAAGCTCCATCAAGCGAGTTCAATGTAGGCCACATGCCATGGGAGCAGTTGCTCACCACCCTAAAGAACCCCATGTCACCCAGAGCTGGCAGTTAGCTGCTTCCGAGTGCTGCCGTCCTGAGGCGGTCGCGGAGCCATGTAGACATGGCAGCCGGAAGAAAACTTGAGAAGACCGAGAAACGGCACATGCCTAGCCCCTCCAAACACGTGATGTCCGGCTAAAGGAAGTTATGTGCTTATCATACGTCCTGCCTCGTCCCTTGCATGTTTGGCAAAGCTGCGCGGGACAGACGTGCAATACATTTGGTCCAAGCCATCATGAAAAGCAGGCGCTGCACACTCAGAGGGGGCAATACCTCCATGAAGCTGCAGCGCAATGTGATCTCCGTGTCATAGTCGACACTCGCTTCGATGTGATCGAACACCTTCCCCGACCCAGTGCCCACTACCGGCAGACGCATTATCTTCTAGACAACTCGTTATTTCTTCGATGCAGCCGAAGAATTTCAGAAACGTCCAGACTTGTAATAGATTGTCGTCAGGGCTTCTTTGAGCGGGGTATTTTGCTTCAAGGGATTAGTCTTCTTTATTCCCACCGGTCCCCGGCTCTCAGTGGACCCGTATCCACTTCATTGAAGTGGCCTTTGTATGTCTTGGTTGTCCGCAACACGAGCTGTGCCTGCTGCTACGATGTCAGATTATCGACAGCATGCACATAGCCCTTGTGCTAATGTCCCAGGCTCGTGGAGGCTCACGTGGCAGCAATATGGACTAACATGTCAGCGAAAAGTCCACGTGCAAGGCAGATGTCTACTCGTATACCGTATAATCTTGAAGACCAGGTGGGACCTGGAGAGGCTAGCCTTGACTTGATTTGGGGGGGGCCAGGAACTTCAGATCTGCTGCAATGGCTTACAGCTGGGGCCGGGCACGAAGCGCGAGGCTTTTGGCACGATACCTTGTAAGTCTGGCCTCGGCAGGGCCACAAGATTTCTTGACGCTGACTGGCCGACCCTTCTGACAGAGGCCCATGCGGGACACTGTCAATTGCAACATTCCCGGGACCTTGCAGAATGCATCAGGCTGCCATGGCATGCGGCACATAGCGACGTTGTGGCCAATCTGGTTGCCACGAGGCCAGGGCCATACATACTGTGCGTCTTGCCGGAAGACTGGCGGCAAACAGGAGGAATGGCATGTGCTTTCAAAGCATCTGTTGCTGCCATTCGATGACGCCTGGCAGGAACTATATCATGCTACATTTACATGCCAGGCTGGCAGTCTGTCCATACGCGAGGATTGTGCCATTGTATCCGCTGAGAACGTCCGAGACAATCGGCTTGCCGACCTAGAAGCAAGACCAACTCAACCACTCCCCAGATAGCTGCGCATATCGCACGCTGTCACAAGCTAAACACATGCTTGCTGAAGTCTGCAGTGAGCAGCAGACAGCTTCAAAAATGTCGTCTTGCGTTGCAGCCTGTCAGAGGACGGGATGACAAGGCGACGACTTCCACACGCGTCGTGTTGCATCGCTGTCGGTGGACATGCCCGCATGATCCAGCTTGCTAGCAGCTGCATATGATGCGCCTCTCCAAAGGCCTTGTTGAAGTCAAAGACGTAAGCACTGTCTGCTGAAGAGACCTGAAGATGAAATGTGCTCATCCCATCCCACACCAGGCTTGCATCTGCCGGCTTGGTGACTGGCGCTTCTTCCATTTGGGTGGATGGAGAAGGAGATGGAGTCCTTCCAACACTGCACAGCAGACATCTTCCGGTGCTGTGCAGCAACCCAATCGGTCCTGTTGCTCGTCATCCATGACCGGGGGCCTTTGGTCAGCGCACAAGCTACAAGTTGAGGAGCTTTTGAAGATCAATGTCGTGGCTGCCGCGATGTCCACATTACTGCTATACTCGCATTGTCAGATTTTACCGCCTCATCGACTGCAGTGCATGCTTGCGGAAAAAGAGCTACTGAGGCGCCGACCGGAAGCGGACTACCACCTGAACAGCAGAGATGGTGCGCGAGTTCCTTGGCCGCGCAGGTCACGTGGACCACGGAGCTGCCCACAAACTGCGATGCCCATCTTCTAAGTACCTTGCGACTTCCGCAGAAGCTGCGATGGCGAAGCAAGATCCATCCGTGATGACGGCGACTCCGGCAGCCTTGCACTTATTGCACACAGTCCGAACATGTCACCAATTCCGGACTGCATGCAGACTAAATTGAGAAACCGATGCGTAATCGCAACTTTTTGCGAAGCAAGAGATGCGCGATGCATCGACAACTTGTGTGCCTTGCTGGCATGCAGGCTGCATCCCCAAGTCAGCTTGAAGCCGAGCTCTTGGATGCATTTCCTTGGATGCTTCGACTCGATGCTACACTAGACGGCAGGCTTCTTGTGAACACGCCGCAGCTTTGCATGTAGATTCCGTGGCCTCGGCCACATCACACTTTACAACAGCGGAGTGATCCGGATCTCTGTTTCCGGATCAAGCGTGCCGCCGCGGCTCGACGAAATCTCTACACTGCTGGCATGGGGAGGTCTTCATACCAATCTCCAAGCAGCACCGGCATTGCAAAAGTGATATACAAGGTTCCCACGACAATAGCAACAAGGTTCAGGCAGAATCCAAATTTTGCCATCTGCCTGACAGATACACGACCGGTGGAATACACAACCATGTTTGGGCCTCCTGCCATGGGTAACATGAAAGCAAAAGATGAGGCGAAGGACACACCCAAAAGAAGCTGAACAGGACTGCTGCCCATGTGCTGGGCAGCAGTGGCCATAATTGGACCGAAGATGTTCAACGTGGACATGTTGGAAACCACTTCTGTCACAAAGCAGATCACTGTCACCACAACAAGATTGAAAATGAAGATGTTGAGGCCCAGGTTCTCAAGAGCCTTGGCAATTACCTGTGCCAAGCCACTTTCCACGGTACCATGAGCCACGAGTGCTCCGCCACCGAAGACAAAAAGGATCTCCCAACTGAAATCCCTCTTTACGCTCTCCCAGTCCAAAATGTAGTTGGGGCTGGGGCCCTTGCAAACCGATTGGCAGCGATCTTCACCAAGAGCACGTCTCAAGGCAGAAGGCAGCCAACGACCACAAGGTATCAGAAAGAACGGAAGTGTCAGCAAAAGGCCGATGGACCCGCTGTCGAGATCTGTCGACACCCATTTTTTCCATCCAGGAAACGTGTCGATTCTAGATGCAGTGAACCACAGGATCACCAGGCACATCATGTTGAAGCTAACCACCATCTCCTCGAAGGTGATTTTGCCCAGCTGCTGCGTGCCCAGGAAAGCTTCGCGGTTAACGACAATACGTGCGCCACTGCACGCATAGACAATGCAGGTCAAAACATATACACATAGCAGAAGCAATACTGACAAGGGCAGGGCTACCAAGCAAAATCTTGCAAAAGAAAACTCATCCTCATCTGGCCAGAACTCTTGGAACATTGCCATGAAAATACCGTTGGTGGGGGTGCCCACGGGAGTTGACAACCCGCCCACAGTCGCAGAGTAGCCTACAGCTAGAAGCATAGTGCTATGGAACGATGGATGTCCACCCTCCAGCGATGAAAGGAAAGCCTTCATTACCGGCATGATGCACAGCATTGTGGCTGTGTTGGAGATCCACATGCTGAGAAGCCATGTAGTGAGCATAAACGCAGCAAGATAGAACTGTATACGATTTCCAATCTGCGACAGCGCGATGCGAACGAAGCGGGTGTGCAAGTTCCATCGCTCAATGGCGAGACCCAGCAAGAAGCCGGCAATGAACAGGAAAGATGTGCCAGAAAAGAACTTCCGAGCCAAGGCAGATGCCTTGACAACCCCAAGCAGGGGGTAAAGGCCCATCGGAAGCAGGCTGCTGATCGAAAGCGGCATCACTTCTGAGATCCAGAACAATGCCGTGACCATGAGGACTGCTAAGCCCTTGGAAGCATCTGGGAATCTGGGATCCAGCTCAGCCATGGGAAGCAAAGCCAAGAGGAGGATTGCCATCGCCAGAACACAACAAAGCTTGAGGCCGCCAGGAAGGCTCTGCACCGCTTTTCCATCTTCTTTCTTGTTTTTGATATCATCTGTACTTCCATCTGAGGCAGCAGGCTCCACACCTGTACAGAACTCGAACCCGTCTAGGTTCATGGCGCCACGGTTCGACTGTCAAAGGCCCAAACAGCAGCCTTCAGTTCATCCGGACACGAGGGCCCCCCTGTGCGCCGAGCTGAGCCACAGAGCTGATGGGTATCCACTGCAGAAACAAGCTTTGACAAGTGCTCTGAAAGCCGCGTCTGGCGAGACAACTCGGGTGTCCTTTTCACATGCTCGTGACATGTGCTACACATATACACCAAGCTTGCGCCTCAGCCCCATCTGGTCTGGAGGCAGACTATCACCTGCAGCAACACTCTTCGGAAGGAAGCGCAACCCTGGATTGCACAACTGGGGCTTCTGCTCCGGCGAGCCCTCGGAGTCCACTGTCGTTGCTCTGTCTTCGCCGCCTTCCAATGAATGACCACTTGGACGTTCCCTTCCCCTGCATTTCTCAGGCTGCGACACTCCAGTCCGTGCTGTTGCTCCGCGATGGCATCCTCGGACCACGGAGTCGGAGCAACGAAGCAGTTCGGCCCTTGTCTGTGCCCGCTGCATTCATCGGGAAGCTGCACACATTTAAACCTGTCCACGGGAAAGAACCTCCAAAAATGTGCCGGAACATCTCCAGGAATCCAGACCTGTGGTCTCGGCCGCTTCGTTGCGCCGGACATGGGCAAAGGAAAGGATGTGGCCAGAGAGGTTCCAGCACAGAGCACTGAATTTCATGAAATCAAGTCGGTGCGTCGGTGCTCGCGGCAAGACAACGCTATGTTGCACGTGTCAGGCTCTAGGCTGCCAGCCTCTAGAGCATGGAATCATATGGAATCGCAATGAATCGCGTTTTTGGAAGCAGGAGGAAAGAGCTTTTCCATGGCTTCGCTGAGCCGAGGCGAGCGAGGTCGGGTGCTCCGAGGCGGCTCCGCTGACACTCCCGCATCTCAGCACGGGACGTGTCTTTGGGCCCCTGAGCCGCCTCTCCATGGGGCTTTATATGGCTTTATGGCACTTTTTGGTATCATCTCAACCGGATCCGGAGTTGCGCAGTTCTGCCTGTTCTGTCTGCGGGCTCTGCGGCCCACGACATGACTGGCACGAGTCCAGCGGCTCAACTGAAGACGGCTCAAGGCTCAAGACTCCTCAAGAGACTGCACCTTGACCAGATTCTGAAGCTCGCTGATACACCGCTCGACCTAGAAGGAAGCTGATGGAAGCTGCTCAGGGCTGCTAACTGCTAGCGCAAGGCCGCATGAGCTGAGAACCTCGTCGTAGGAGCAGGAAACCTTGCCGGTGAAACCACGTGCAGCCTGCCAAGTCAAGAAAGTTTGCAAAGAAGCCAGTCCCCCCTTGGAGTTTCCAGCACACACCCGGCACTTGCTGCGACGTGCATGCGAATAATTCTTTTCATCCGAGGAGGAGATACTTGCCAGCAGCGTAATTCGTGAGTTTCCAGCGGGCCGCATGGAAAACGCACGCATTTCGGACTACTTCTAGACACCAGCTACCAGTTTCGGTGCAGAACTTCGTGCACAAACTTCGCAAGGCAGCTAAGGCTCTCCTAAGTCATGGTCCTGTTACATTAAGCTGCTGGCAGCCGCAAACTAAGTACCTTTTAAAGAAATTATGCTCCGAGACCGACAATGCACGTGATCTCCCACACTGCACAGAAAAGACATAGGTTCATCGCGAGACTTTCGCCCAGCCCGTGCGCCATGAAGGACACCCCTGTGCCTCAAACTTAAAAGCACATGCACTGTAAAGACACTCATTCTGGTCAGTCAAGCTATGTAGCGAGGTATGTCGCGAACGGTGTGGGTCTGGAATGTTGACTTTTTATTTCGGGGAGCCGGCAAGCATGCTTCGTTTAGTCCTAAGTCCTCGAGTTCGTGAGACTGCATCGTCAGAATCTCAAAATCAATACGGCCGCCTGGTCTCGTCGGTGCGTTTGATTGAAAGACGATTCTGTGCCGGAGTAGCAGCGGGTGCTGGCAACGGCAAGCCGGCAGTGTTGGCACGCAGCCAATCAGGACTTATCGGCAAGGAAGTGCCTGTTCTCCCGTTGAGCTTCACCGTCTTTAGGAGGAGTAGGAGTGCTGCTGGGACGTCCGGATGCGACTGACCTCTTAACTCTCCCGCGCTCCCCAGTCCTCTCCACGACCGTGGGACAGAAAGGAGTGTGGGGCTGGAGGGCGGCGGGCGACGAAGAATCAACAGAACATATGCGAGTGGTGGTGGTGAACGAGAAACTGAACCTGTGAGATGTCATAGTATGACTCCTGCAGGCCCTTCTGTATCTGCTCCGCAGACAACGCCCCTCAGGGAGCTCAGGCCACGCCAAGCCGGAGAGTTTTGGGGCCAACTTCGCTTCCGACTTGAGTTGCTGTGTCTACACGCTGTCCGGCGGCCTGTTCCAACCTGACTCCTTAGCTACCTGGAAGCCGTTGGAGCTGCCTGCGAATGTTTATCTGCCGCTACCTTGATTTGATACTGTAAACGCCAGTCTCGTTGCGGGCAAGGGAGCGAATCCGCCACGAAGCACCAGCTCTTAGCAGCTCTTAATAGCAGCTTAGCCGAGTTACGTAGCTGTTTGCAGCGCACCTTAGCCGCACTGGCGACTGCCTCCTCGACCGACGCTTGGTCCACGGAGCCTGCAAGCCACAACAATGCCCCAAAGCACATTCCATGCGTCACTGAGGCAACAGCCGAGCGATGCTGTTGGCAAAACTACCGAAGCAACCGAGGGCTGCGGAGTCACCTGAACAGCTGCTTCTCTGAGTTTGGTGAACAACGATCATACTACAAGGTTCTCGGAAACGTATGGAACCTGACCACGCTGCTCCAGCAGAGACATTGCCAGCTCCTGGATCAACCGACAGAAAGCTGACGCTGAAGGCAGGATTGTGACAGAAGGCTTGAGGAACGAATTGGTGGAGTCGACAGAGTCACGGGATGTTGTCAATCCAGATCGTCAAGTCACCCTTCTGTGTATATTGAAAGGCTAGAGCTCATGCCGATGAAAGCTAACACTCACCGGAAATCCAACAAGAGCCGCTTCAATCATGCACGGAGCTCGTGGCTCGTGTGCGATGCTGTACTGCAGACTCGCGAAACTTCAACTGGCTTCGAGAATCTACCATCCAAACGAATACTTAATACTGACGAATACCCTTCTTGTGCGCATTGACTTCTGCATATGACTGCAGGACTCCGGGCTCTGGGTCCTGCTTCTGCCTCAGAGCTTCCAGCTCACTCTCTCTCGCTCGGACCTGCAGCTGAGGACTGAGAGCGCAATTACTGGGCAGAGTCACTGAGGGCAGCTTGTCTCAGGGCAGGCCATGACAGGTCCACTACATCTCCTGGGTCCCCAGCTGCGGAGGTGGAACCATTCGCCACACCTATAATGCGGCGTGATGACAGCTGATCCTTCTACGGACTCTGCAACGGATGCTGCTCGACGTGAGAAGTATCGGTATGAAGCCAGCTTCCAGGAGGCTTCTCGTCGCCGTCGTTGTAGTTGTAGTAGCTGTAGTAGCTGTAGTAGCTGTAGTAGCTGTAGTAGCTGTAGTAGCTGCAGTAGCTGCAGTAGCTGTAGTAGCGGTAGTGGCTGTAGTAGCTGTAGTAGCTGTAGTAGCTGTAGTAGCTGTAGTAGCTGTAGTAGTTGTAGTAGTTGTAGTAGTTGTAGTAGTTGTAGTAGTTGTAGTAATAGTAGTAGTAGTAGTAGTAGTAGTAGTAGTAGTAGTAGTAGTAGCAGTAGCAGCAGCAGCAGCAGCAGCAGCTGCAGCTGCAGCAGCTGTTGTTGTTGTTGTAGTAGCAGCAGCAGCAGTCA